AGTGTCTGATGATTTATTGGTAAGTTACTTAGGAATGGACAAATATTAACGTGAGAAGCTCAAGAGGAAACATGTAGGAAGGAATGAACTAATGATCAACGCATCAGGAAAACAGGGTAAGTAAGTCAAAAGCAAAAGATGTTTGAAATACGACTTGAGCGTTGGAGAAATCAAGATCTATGTGTATTATAGAAACACATAAACACATGGGAACTGGAGTTGGAACTAATAGAAAATATTGAGCTTTTAACTCTACTTTCCTTTTTGAACTAATAAAATGTTGAGTTTTAAACTCGACTTTGCCTCTTCAAATTCAATGTAAAGCAGTAGTTTAAGAACTGGGACTTCTGCTTTTATTTATTTGTTTGTTCTTGATAAATATATCTTCATTAGTCAGATTTACGAAATATATCTTTAGTTGTTTATGTAGATTTATTACTAGTTTTTTTTCTTCTGCTTAGTTATATTACAAGTATTTAAATCTCAGAGAGAAAAGCTCTCTCTTCTTCCTAGAATTATGGAACTACAGAAACTAAGCAAAACTTTGATCCTCCTGCGAACAGCCATCTCCGACTAGTTTGTGTTTCGATGAAGCTGCAGAAATCTATTGACTCAGTAGTGGTCTATGCCAAAGTAAAAAGTAGAGCAGAATAAACTTTGTTGTCAAATGACTCCAGCCTGATCTATAGAGGAGCGGCTGGCCAGTGCGGTCTTTAGACAGCATATGTCACCACAAGCAAGTGGTAATGAAGCCATTTTTTCAGTATCAGGAGTAGAAATTGATTTTATTGAATACATGCTTTGTTGGGCATATGTGCCAGTGAAGTGCAATTGAAACAATTGGGCAATTGGGTTCACATGACTGAAAAGGAACCAAGGTGTATAAGTTACGATTGTAGTCCGATTGCCCACTGGCCACATAGTGTATGGGTCTTTTCAACAAGTTGGGAGATTTTCCGGAGTATTCATTCATGTTGATATTAGTCTTGCTCTTGCAGAATGTATCTCTAAAAAATTTTAAGCCTTGCTGTTAAACAATGTTTGTATCCTATATAGTTTTATTTTCTTGTTTTCCTTTTAGAATGCATCTTTCCATATCCCAAAGTCATACCTTTTTCTCTTGACAGCCTCACAGGTGGTTCTATCGTGGGGGATATAGCTCCTTATCAAGCTTTTGCAATCGGCGGGCTTGGCAGTGTCCGAGGGTATGGTGAAGGAGCTGTTGGTTGTGCTAGATCTTGTCTGGTTGCTAACAATGAACTGACGTTTCCTTTGGTATGTTTTTATTTGTAAGTTACTGAATCTTTGCTTGTAAGGGACAGTCATTTGGCTGCACCTTTTGCAAAAATTATGTTCTTTCTAGTCTTCTAACTTCCTTAATGATGCAAAAAGATGGAGGAAATCTTGCTAATTGCAAATGACATTCAGGAAAAAAAGAGAGGAGTAACTGTGCAGTACAGACTTCACAAATGGATTTGCTTATTTTGGTTTGTTAAAAATCTATTGCACTTAGTATGAAACAGGTGTTAAGGGGAACACATGTCTTTTTATTGGCAATGACGTCTTCTCTTAATTGAAGAATTTGATATTGAAGAAATGTCCTGTCATTAAGTAAGAAAATTCTATTGTAAGATAAATCATCAAATGACAGTGCTTTAAAGTCAAAAGAACCTTTTTTTCTAATTTGAAGAAAATAATTTTATTGACAAGATTAGTTGTAAGAATTGGCGGTTCAAGATTAGTTGCAAGAAATGATAGTTTTTGTAACAGTTAAAAGGTTATCCTTGTCCCACTAAATGAAATTTCCTAGCTTAAAGTTCCAGTATCAAACTCTTCTACTAAGACCGAGAAATTTATTTTCCTTTTTTGAGAATGATAATAAACATAAGTTAAACTAAGACTGAGAAAGGATTGTTACTAAGCTATTAAAAAATCTGCTCTTTTAACCGTTTCTTGCTATTGTCTCCTCTTATCTGCACTTGCATTGCCTATGAAATTAGTCTGTACTAGTCTCGTATACTGCCCTCATTAAATCCTCTGCATCCATTTGGACCTATTAAATTTTATATTGTGTGGAGTCTCACACACAGTGCTTTGTATCCAGAACCCGATGCTTGATGGTGCAGTCTTCTTGGATTGTGGATCTGATTTGGGCTCAGGTCGTCATGTGCCTGGTTAGTGACTTAGTAATTCTTACATTATGCAGAAGTTTTGCTTTATGTTACCGACTACTGTTGAAATTTAGAAACATATGTGTGAGAATTTTAGAAAAATCTTCCTGTCGATTACTCCTTTTGGAAATGTTTGAGAATGTATGATTGCTTAGTTGTATAGTCTCTCTGTGTTTTCTTATGTTGCTTGAGTTAGGTATTTTTTTTGTTTTTTTGTGAGGGGGGGGCTGGCAATAAATATGAAAAATCCAAATAAGTGGTATGAGAAATTATTTTATATATTAGGAGCCGTGGAGCAACATTTAAGTTGTCTCCGTGTAACCTATATGTAACTGGTTTGAGCTGTGGAATCAACCCTCTTGGGGTGAGACCCTTCCTTGGACTCTGCGCAAATGCGGGATGCTTTTTGCTCCAGGCTCCCCCCCCCCTACCCCCCCCCCCCCCCCCTTTCATTTTTTTAAATTATAATTTTCTGTGTCCTTTGCTTCGCTTCTTTTTAACTTGTTTACCTCATGCTCTTCATCTGCCTTACTTCTATTGAGCCAGTATTGAGTAGATTACTTGTTGTAAAGGTTACAACCTTTTCTTTCCAATGAAGCTGTTAATGGTTTAGTTTATGACATAAGCAGTTAAGCTTAATGATGTTCTGGTTATGGTTAATTACTGCTTTCGAGATCTAAGTCCACACTTTAGGTTTCACTGTGAAAGCGTAGATCCACATATACTCTCGTAAGATATTTAGGATAAGTGCATGAAGACAATCCTCATCAACAAGATGACGAGAATATCTGCTGAAAAATGTATTGGAGTAACACTAGTTTGTTTTGCTAAATCATTTCTGAGGGATGTGGAGCTTGTTAATTCAGTTGTTTTTAGCCATAAAAAAAGAGGCCTTCAGTGTCTCCTAGCAAGATAGTAAAAAGCAAATGCTTTTGAAATGGAGAAGTTCAATATTGTAGGATGTGTAATCTTAAATTCCCGACTGCTCTAGCTAAGCTTTAGGTTAACTAAAAACATGCATGTTCGGATCTCTCCTAAGTGTTGCAAGTCTACAATCTAGTTGTAACTACTTCCTTTACCTCATCAATGTGATGATGAGATTGCTTTGTTGTTTATCATGTTCAAGAACCTCTCAGAAGTTACGCCAATAGATAAATCTAAACATAATGAACATGCTTTCGGCTCACTTTGTCATTTGTCTGTCTTAACATATTTTCTCTAACATTTGAGCATTTCAGGGAATCCCGCTCTTAGGCATGGCAAACCAGGAACTGGAGTTGGTCTTGGATATGGCCTTAGATTCAAGTCTCAGTTGGGACATTTCCAGGTGGACTATGCAGTCAATGCATTTCAACAACGGACTGTGTACTTCGGCTTCAGTAACCTCCCCTCATGAGAGTTCACCACAGCACTTGCAATGGTAGCAAAACTTATGATCAGCGTTTCATCTGTAGAGAAAATTTCTGAGGATATCTCTAAGGGATCGGATGTTGGGCTCTGCGTAGTAGCCTGTCCCTTATTAGAAACAATGGCTGCTCTCTTGCAGAGACAACAGTGAAGATTTTTCTCATTGAGCAAATTGGTGCAGAGAAGCGGTTCCATTTTCATCCTACCGCTTCAAAGATCAGAGTGAAAATTGTAAATTCTTTACCGCGACCATCAGGAAGTGAGTCTTCATGTCAAAGTTAGTAATCTGCTATAAGACAATGTAGACGTTCAGTTTCCTTTTTTCTTTTACAAATATAGAATTTGTTAGCTGATTTCATTCTTGAAGTGGAATTACATATTATGTGATACTGGTTTCGCAGTGTTGTTCTTTAGTCAAGGTGGCAAAATGGTTAAAAGAAAACAGTTATCCACCCATATTATCCGTCAAAAAATGGGTTGGATAATAAACCATTTAAAAACGGGTCGAATATGGATAAAGAACCACATTATCCACTTAAAAAATGGATAACTAATGTGTTTAATTTTTACATTTGTAAAGCCTCAAACTGAAGTTCCTCAAGTTTGGAAGACAAGGAATTCTCTCATAAATGATTATATTTAAGAAGCCATGGATAATATGGATATCCATATTAGCCGCCGGATAAACCCGTTTTATCCGTCTCAAATACGGGTCGGATCGGATAATTTATCCGCTTAGACCCGCTCATATCCGACCCGACTTGTCCATTTGCCATCCCTAGACAAATCTGTCAACAGATAATATTCCTCGTTGATTGAAAAAAGAGCTAGTTATCATACAAAGAAAATGCTACAAGTTAATCCCTGTACATATAAAATAGACGTCCGGTAAGTGCATAGAACTTAAACTCAAGAGAAGAAAGACTAGCCATAAGGTTGGACATGCGACCAATAATCCAAGCTTAAATACAATAACAAATATTGTTGTAAGCAAATTTGAAGCTTCATTATTACATCAAATGAAAATCAAAATAAAGTACGCCACCTAACAAGAAATTGCCTCTGTCCGTGGTGCAACAAGCGTTACCACTCGTTCAAATCTTGTAGTATAAATCTACTGAAAAACTAATCCCACTCTTTACATGTCAGTGGAATCTTTAGGTTCAAAGTGGAATTTTTGGTTCAAAATGACTGAGATTAGCAAGGATGAATACAAGAAATAGAAGGTAGTAATATTCCAACTACAAACTATCACAGGTTTAAATCAAGATAAGTAAGACATTGCTACAAGTAGGAGAATGTTAACTCCTACCATACATGACGTTGAACGTCTAAAGTAATTCATCCTCAAGTTAAAAAATAGTTAAGTCGAATCCAGGAAAGTAAACGAACAATTTGTAATGAAGGAAGTATTAAGATTGATTAGATGATAGTACTAGTACTTGCAGAAACGTCGATGGACCTATCATCCTCGTCTCGTATAGTAGTAATCATCAGAGCAACTTGGTTTATACTAGGCCTAGCCTCAGGAGAATGGTTCACACATTTTACAGCAACTTGTAACAAATTAACCATCCTCTCTTCACTAGCACCTTCCTGTATCAATGTTCTATCAAAAACTTCAACTGTCCATTCTTCTCTTAGTACAGAAACAACCCAACTTGCAAGGTCTAGTCCATTGTTTTGCACTTTCCCTGTTAGTAACTCCAAAAGAATTACCCCAAATGCATAAATGTCTGCTTTAAACATTGCTTCTGCATTTTCGTCGGTTATAGGGAAGACATTGGAACTGCTGGGAAATTGAGCCTGGTTTTGTATAGTACTAATTTCTGTGCTGCTCATTAGACCATATTCACTGATGCATGGTTCCATGTTGTTGTTCAACAAAATGTTGGATGATTTTAAGTTTCCATGAGGAATTCCGTCATGTTGAAGCTCTTGATGCATGAACGCTAAAGCATCGGCTACACCTGCTGCTATAGAAAGTCTGCTGCTCCAATGAAACATTTGGCCCGTGTGGATTCCTGATAATCAGATTCATAGTGTTTAAATGACCGTGTCACACAATTCAATATGGTATTAGAGCAGATTCAAGTTTCACCATCGCCAAGTATCAAAAAAATTTATGAGAATTAGACTACCATGACCAGGAGGTCACGGGTTCAAGCTGTGGAATGCAGCTTCTTGCGGAATGCAGGGTAAGGCTGCATATAATAGATCCTTGTGGTCCGACCCTTCCCCGAACCCCGCACATAGCGGGAGCTTAGTGCACCGAGCTACCCTTTTATAGTTTAAGCATGTGCATGCGATATACAAGGTTTATTTCACGTATGGTCAACTTTATCCCCTGTAACGGCAAAGTCACGGAACTATTTTTTGTCATATTAAAATAACTAAATTTGCCCACTATAACAGCAAAGTAACTAAACTTTCCTACAATAACAGTAAAGTTATAAAACTATTTTTTTGTAACTCTACCCGGTAAGACAGTAAAGTTACTAAACTTTTCTCAATATAATGATGAAATCTACTCATAAAGGCGACTTTACTGTTATATGGAGCAAACTATAATGACTTTACTGGTATAGTTGGTAAACTTTAGTTACTTTCATGTGACAAAAAATAGTTTAGTAACTTCAACTAGGATAGTGCATAAGTTCAGTTACTTTAACGTAACAAAACATAGTTTCAATAAACTATTTCAATGGGTAAAGTTCAGTAACCATACGTGAAATTAACTCCACAATTCAATATACAGAAAGAATAGAGTTAGTTATATGTCTTGTTAAAAGTAACTGACTAACTTACCTTGCAGAAGTCGAAGAAGACTACCATTATTTTGGTACTCATAGACAAGAAGCTTCTCTTGTCTAGAGGAATAAAAGGCAACAGCAGGCAACACATTTGGATGCCTGATTTGGTCAAGTTTCTGCATTCTCTTCTTGAACTCACTACCAGATATTGACCAATCCTTTATCCTCTTTACAGCCAAAGTCATGTTAGGATTATCACACATCACTTTATAAACACTACCATGTTTCCCTCTTCCAAGTAACTCAGCTGGAGCCTTCAGCAAATTCTCAAATTTCAATCCATTATTCATCTCTGGACTCGTAAGAACCACGAGTGACTGTGAAATCGCGGCGTTGCTTTCATCAGAAGAAACTGCAGCTGATGAGAAACCTGAATTGCTCGCGCCTTTCTTAGATTGATCCATTGATGTAATAGTAATCCTGTCACTATCATGATCAAATGCAGCCACCTTTTTCATCGCCTCGAGACTCAACTCCTTTTTCTTTTGCTTCTGTTTCCTTTTTTTGTAGACGCATAGTAGGATAACAAAAACCAGAGCCAGGCCAATTAGAATATAACCTGAAAACATGAGAATTTCATCTCTTGACAAGTTTCTCTTTGGCTTGTCATGATCATCTGAGTCTGCCTCTTCGGGCAATGATGAGCATGTTGTTGCCAACGGGGCGCCACACAACAGAGGATTGTCCATGTAGCTACTAACAGGGAAACGATCACCCTCAGGCGGAATCAATCCACCGAAATTATTGAATGAGACATTAAATGCAACAAAATTGGAGAAATCAAATTCAGGTATCTCCCCTGATAGCTGGTTATTTTGAGCCTCGAATTCCATCAAACCTGATATCGTAGATAAATCAGGCAAAACCCCTGATAATTCATTTTTGGATATATCAAGCCTTTTCAAGTTATTCAATCTTGAAAATGATTGTGAAAGGCTACCCGAGAACCGGTTTCCACCTAGGAAAAGGTGTGTTAGATGTTTGCACTTGTCTATGCTATCCATGTTTTTTCCCTGAAGTAAGTCATTTTTTAGACTGAGGTAAAAAAGGGTGTCCACGATTGACTCCACGTTACAAATTGTGTTGGCATCAAAAGTTCCATAGAAATTGTAATCATCAAGAATGATTCTCTCCACAGAAAGTGTCTTTGCATTACATGTAACACCAAGCCAATTATCCTCACAAGGATCTGATGTTGAGTTCCAGCCTGAATTAGTTCCAAGAATTAATGTACTATTATTGTTAGAAAGCTCTGCAATAAACTTGAGTAATGCATCTTTAGCCAATGTTTCATCTTCATCACATTTGGTAGTGTCAAGGATAAGAAAGAACGATATGAAGAGCAAAGCAAAAGTGAGGATTTGGTTCATTTTTGCATGATACTAGAAAAAAGTGGGAAAAGGGGAGATATAATGCAGATTTCACAGTTGAGCAGTGGAAAACAAATTATGATGAGTTATGCAGATATAATTGTGGATATTCCCAATGTTTGAAGTAGTCATTAATCGACTAATTGTAGTGCCATTTGGCGGAAAACACAATGAAATTTGTATAAACATTGTGGACTTGGTTATACAAAGTCAAGTACAGTATCAGATTCTCACGTCTCAAAATCTACTAATTAAATCCGAAGCCGGCCAGCAGCAAACTTACTCTGTAACTTTATCCTCTACTGTCTTTACTTGTAGAGGACTATCCAGCAAGTTAATTAAGACAATAGAGCACCTTTTGTAGATACCCCTTTATAAGGAAGTTACAAAAAAGAACAAGTAAAACATGCTCTAATATATAGGACACAAAGGGATTTCCATTTTTTTTCAAGCCAGTTGCATCAAGGGGATTAGCGTTTGTCTGAAAATTCAAAATTAGAGTTGGCAATATTTTTAAAAGCTTTTGCAAACCCTGTTTGTTTGACTTGATTTTTCACAAACCCTAATGTTCAAGTCATTTTGAGCCTTGGCATGAGAATTTTTTCTCGTGAAATTTACTCATCTGCTGCCATCTAACACACTTTTTTCTTGGTGGAAACCGGTTCTCGGATAGCCTTCCAGAATCATTTTCAAGACTGAATAACCTGAAAAGGATTGATATATCCAACAATGAATTATCAGGTGTTCTGTCTGATTTAACCCGGACAATTTCTGGTTTGATGGAATTCTGAGACTCAAAACAATCAGCTATCAGGGGAGATACCTGAATTTGACCTCAAATTTTGTTAGTTCTAATGTTTCTTTCAACAATTTCAGTGGATTGATTCCACCCGGGGTTGATCAATTCCCTGTTAGTAACTACATGGACAATCCTCTGTTGTGTGGCGCCCCGTTGGCAAACACAACGTTCCCATCCTTGCCCGAAGAGTCAGAAATTCCAAGTCAAGACTGAAAATTGTAGCATTAGACATGCTTTTGTCTGCACTGATTACACCACTTTCTGTAGTTGAACATCCAATTTTTCGTATTGGACGTCCACAAAGGCATTACAATGAAAATAGTAAATTAGCACACTCTAGGAAATTTCCAGAAAAACAGCGGAAACGAACATATGGAAGAAGGATAACAAGGCTACCTTTTTTTTACTAATATGCACATATATACCATGAGTCATTATAATATTGACAAAGACCAAAAGTTGCAAGAAGCTTACATATTACTACTATCTACAGAGTCCTAAGACTATAAACTACCCAAAAATCTTCTTGCAATTCAAAATCTTCCAAACTATTAGCTAGGCAAAACATTCATCATCAGTATAACAAATACTGAGATCATCCAAACAGCTGAACTCACCTAAAAGAGATCCATAGTTATCAATGATTGGTAAGCCGAGTTTCAGCGAAAATTTGACTTCACTACCACCTGTAAGTTGTACCCATTGTCCCATCCACAAATCTTCATCAACTTGACCTTCTAGCTTCTTCTCCCCTCCACTAGAATCAGTTGGCACATTGCTTTGCAGCTCGCACTTTGTTGAGCACTGAAAATTGAATTCCTTAAACGGATGATAAGCATGGAAAGCTTCTTCAGCAGTGTCAAGACTAGTCCCCAACAAATTTCTTGTCATACTTATGGAGTGGCTTTGCTCGCAAGAATCAATCCTTTGGCCACTTTGAAATGCTTCACAATTTACATGGCCTTGTTTGCCATTGACTAATTTCTTTTTCCCATGTTGCTTCGAATGAGTGTTCTTATTAGTACTTTGCGGCTCCTTCGCGTTGACTAGTTTCTGAAACTCGAGTTTCTTAGATTGATAAGCCCGGGAAGCCTCTTCAGCAGTATGAAAAGTCCCCAACCAAATTTTTTTCTTAGTGATGGGGTTTGTAATCTCAGATGTATATTTCCCCCACTTGTTCTTGTGAACCCCAATGATATGTGTTGTTTTGTGTCTTTTATTTCTACCTACACTAGCAGTATCTAAGGACGACGATGCGCCAACAGGCGATTCGTGCTGAATTTGACCACAATCCTTTGGTTTATTCTCCTTATTTCCCAGCTGGCATAATTTATCAAACTCAGACTTGTAGGAGAAATAAGCTTCTGAAGCCTCTTCAACCGTGTCAAAAGTGCCCAACCATATTTGCTTAAGCCTAATGGGGTCTCTAATTACAGCACCATACTTGCCGTTCTTTTGCCTTCGGATTCCATGTAAGCTTATTTTTGCTTTAGTATTGCTTGTTGTTACAGTATTACTATTACACCCATCAGATGGTGATCTTCTTGTTCCCTGGAAAAAAAATTAGCCATTAAACATGAGGTTTCTTTACAAGATTCTACACTAATTATGAGGTTCTTTCTTTTACTAATTTCTCAGATATTGTGCAATGTGAAGGGGCGGATAGAGCTTCGAGGTACCAGGTTCATCTGAACCCCGTACTTTTGACGCCGAGCATAAATTTATATGTAAAAGTAAACTAAAACTGCAACAGATATAACGGGTTCAAATTCAATGCTAAGAACCATAAAGATTGAACTCATAAAACAATGTGCATGTTAGAGTTAAAGCCTTTTGATGCATATTTTAAAAGATTCAAACATACCTGCTTTTCCTGAAAAGGGTCTTCTCTTATCTCCCTAATAAAGGGATTTTTACCATTTCTTTCAGCAGCACTAGTTGTGTTAGTGGAATTTGAGCCCTGTGGTTTGAGCAGTGAAGATGGAATTTTTTGCATGAGCTGGGCAGTGGCAGAAGCAGAGGATTTACTTTTACTAGAGCCTTGATTTGCCTTGACTGGTTGAGCAGTTTTAAAGCTACCCAACTTAACCTTTTTTTTCTTAATAGGATCTTTAATTGCAGCACCATATTTACCACATTTTCTCTTATGAACCCCAGCAAATTTAGTTGCATGCAAATCCATAACTGTACTGTTACTGTCCATGTAATCGTGATTCTGCTCCTTTACCTTGTAATAAAGAATCTCAGCTGACCATCTTCTACTTTCTTGACTTTCACTAGCAGATGAAACAGCAGCATCTGAGTCCAAGATTACAACTTGGGTTATCTTATTTTGCTTTTTATTACTGGTTTCTTCTTCTGCTTCTTTTTGCTTTGCAACAGTTTCCATGGGTCTGATTATGTTATCGAGACAATGTTCATTTACTATCCATTGAACTGAGGGAATTGGGGTATGTTGGAATTTATGAGAGTACTTTTTAGGCACTGAACTATTCTATTCGTACACTGCAGAGTAGTATGGTGGAAACTCTAGATTCCGGAACCCAATGGTGGTCTTATTGGACTAAAATACCGAAATAAGTAATAAAAAAAACTTAGTGACCAAACTATATAAAAAGTGGTTTTAAATCGCGCTCACGTTAAAGTAAAGCGCGTTTTAAAACCACAATTCAAACTATGCTTTACCTGAAGTTGATTGGACGTTTAATTAAACCGTTTTTCATCTTCAAATACCCGTCCCCTTCCTTCCCCCACGTTCAAAGCAGATGTCCCCTTTTAAAATTCGAACAGCCACCCCCCC